CGAATCACAAGTGTACATTGTGTTACCTACGTGAATAAATGATTTTTGAATTTGAATTTGAATGATAATATGTTAGAAAAAAGATTTACACGCGTGAAAATGACATGAGAACTTTAGAAGGCGCAGCGCAAACCAGATCTAGGTATGCAACTTTTATAAGGGGACTTTTTGTATCGAATAAAACACATATAGACATAGACATAATATTTATTACAAACAAAAACACACACACATAAACACGCAAAATAAAAATAATGAAAGAAAAAAAGAAAATGAGAGATATCAAAAACAATATAAAAAAATTCCTTTTCCCATTCGGTTCGTTTTAAGTGTGTAATGCGTATGTGCTGTGGTTGTAATTGGCCCTGGCTCAGCTTTATGTTGAGGAGCAGAATGTTCCACAGCGCATGTCACGTCGTGTTTAAAAAAAAATGTAATAAATTTGAGTTTATCCCTTATCCTTGAGGTTGTTGGTTCATTACCCGGCTGTGCACCAATGTACTTGCTATGTGTGCATTTAACATTTAACTTTCGCTCGAACGGTGAAGGAAAACTTCGTGAGGAAACTGGGTTGCCTTATACCAAAAAGTCGATGGCGTGTGTCAGACACAGGAGGCTGATCACCTACTTGCCTATTAGACAAATGATCATGAAACAGGTACAGAAATCTGAGGGCTGAGGCCCAGACCTGAAAAGGCTGTAACGCCACTGATATATATAATTTCAAGTTTATATTCGTCGTAGTTTAATTTATACCCCACAAGACAGTTATAGTTATAACCTTAATGTAATTACGTTTTTAATGTGTTCCAGAGGTGAGATATACGCTTCAATACAATAGAAATGTTTCAGTCTCTAAATATTTATATGTAAAGTTTAATTGTCTTCAAGTGTTTCTTGCTGAGCGTATTCCCAGCCGCTATCGTAAACAAAATCCAATAACAACTTTACGATTCCTTTCATCAAAATTAAACAAGCGCACAGATGTTCGCCGTCACAATTTTTTATACAAACACGAAAAGATTTCATTCATGTAATTCTTGAGGTTGTCTTCAGTGATTTTTTAAAGGCACTTCTGTGAAATGTCTACGCTGTAGACACTATCACCAAAACGCAGAGAGGGCCCGGCGGGAGACGCCAAACCCACCAGATAAATTTCCTGTTGACACTCCCCTGATCTGCCCGATCGCGTGCCTGATAGGCTACTATGTAAGGATCCTACGTATATGTATTAAAAAAAACTATATGGCATAACAAGATATAATAAGACATTTTTATTGATTTGTGTACTTGGACTAATCTTATACTTGGAGTAATCCTTTACCTTATTCATAAGAACTTAATCAGTGTAATTTCACACTTTATCTGAGTACCTTTTCGTTTCTTTCTGTTAAATTGTGTTTTCGCTGTGATGAAAAGAGACAGTGTACTTAAGTTAAAACGGTACACGAATTATTTGTTTATCTACAGTAAAATTACAAAGAGGAAAGATTTGATAGTTGCATTACACTGGTACATGACAGATTTGAAAAATTATTTCACCATTAGAGCCCAATGTTCTCCTTGATGAACAGAATATTTAAAAAAGAGTTTGGGCCATATTCCTCACAATGGTTTTCTTCAGAGTGTAGACTGGTGTGTTAACTAAATAAGTGCAAAATAAAGAATCCATTAGATAGCCAATCGAAATCAATACGTTTTTGACATACGGAAGTCATACTTAACGTCTGATCTCTGAATTCACTGTTTAAATAAAAGTTAATTAAGCTCAGTATATGCTTACGTGATCAATTAGTTTGTCTTAGATCAGAGTTCGACAATTAGTTATTGCTAGAATGTTGATAATCACATACAATGATTTAACTGTCCATAGATTATTACTCATTCGACGTGAAGATATTATAATAAGGACACAAATATTACCTTTAAGATATTAATTAGTTCTTTATTCTAGGAACGCCATTCTGGTGCCTGCTTGACATCGTTCCAATTAAAAATGAAAAACGAGAGGTGGTGCTGTTTCTCGCCTCTTTCAAGGATATTACAAACACAAAGATGGCCGCCATGAACACTAATGAAGACTTTGACAGCGGTAAGATTGATAAACTGAATATCTCGACTTGCATTTTTTCCATTCACTGAACCGTGATTGTATTATCTACTCGAAACGGTCATTTGCGATTGTGAATATTTTATCGAAGACGCAATTGTAAAAACATTGAAATACTATTGTAAATATATAATATTAATCTAAACCTTCGCTACATTACTATGTGCGCTTCATAATTTTAATATGAAGAATTTAAAGACCAAAGAGTTGTGAAATTGTGAAATGTGAAGAATTCCATACCAAGAATGTACCACCCGTAGTTCCCAGGTAGGATAGAAAACTATCCAAAGGTTTTTCAATTTCCACAATAAATTCTGAATCGCGTCAATTGCAATTGACAGTTTCGATAAAGCTCCTAATATTGTTCATAGCTTGATTGGACTAATTGAAATCCCAAAAAATTGAGACCCTTAGAAGCATGAATCTAATTTGAATTAATCAGATTAGTTGTAAAGTATACCTAAGAGTCTATGTAGGGAATTTACATAAAATTATTTGTATTACATAATTCATTTGATACAGTGTTATTTCGCGTGTTTGAGCACGTTTTAGTGACATTTAGACTCGTCGGATCCACAATGCACGGTGACTCATTTAAATGTTTTAAGGTAATTTCTAAATAGGTTTCGAAAATATCTTCGTGTGTAGTTTGTATGGTTAGAGTACTTGTAGTTTAAAAAAACGTTTTCTGTTTTATTATCGTCAGCCATGAATGAAAATATAGTATTATATAAATGAGAAATATATACATAATGTTTGCCACAAAATTTTGACTGAAAGAAACTGTGTTACTAACTCTAGCTAATATAAATTTTAATGTATAATGAATGGTTTGGTAACATAGGAGTATAGTTTTTTTATAGTTATTTTAAATAATTTATATATAAGAAAATTGTACGCTACCACCCTGTAATTAATAATAAAATATTTATCGCTATTATCAGCATAGAAGTTTATAATGGGTTGCAGCTTATCAATTTAATATAGTTGAATGCAAAAACCTGGTTTCTAGATAATGATACTGCGCCGCTACTCTGAAACTCTCTCTAGCAATAACGATTTCAAAGGCAAACACAGGGCCGGATTTCGGTCTGGAGGCCTCATGGCAACAAAGGAATGGCCCCAAGTTACTTTTCAAATAAAATGAACGATTTTTTCAGTCGAGTTTTTCAATCAAAAATTAATTGTGAAACCAAGTAGATTCTTTTAGTGTTTAACGAACATATAAAAATGTATCAAAAGAAAAGTTGTTTACTATGTTTACTAGTCGGAATTTAAAACATTTCCGAAGTCTCTATTGTGGGCCCTCCCCTAAATCCGACCCTCAGCAAAATATCTAAATCGCATACAAAAACTTCGCAATTGCAGTCGCTATTAAAAGTTACTGAGTAACCGGTTTTGTGTCTGTTTTATTCACAGATGAAATAATAATTCCTGCTTTTAAATAGTATAAGCGCATGCCTATTATATGTACCTAGGTTATAGCTGTGTTATATACTCTTTAATTTGTAAAATAGTTTTTTCGTAGATGCGATGTGATAACAAATCTCATGTGTAATAATTGCATTCAAACTTTTTTATAACCACGTTCTACCATAACACTTAGACATCCAATACATTTTATATTAGGCCCATTTAACAAAATTTCAATTAAACATTATACATACAGTCATACACACAGTCTACTATTCACACAATTTATTTATTTATTTATTTACACTTCGTTACCATAATATAAAAAAATCATACGTATAAAAAAAACTAAAAAGCAGGTTACATAAGGTGCGGCCTTATCGCTAACAAGCGATTTCTTCCAGGCAACCCTAATATGGAACAATAAAAAAAGAAACACCTACAGAGGGTTAAGTACAAGAAGTGCATAATTACTTAACAAAAAAAACTCATAATAACATGAAACTATAACTAAAACTAAAGAAAATAAAATCTAAAGAAAAAATATAAATAATAATATGTATAAACAAAAACGCCCACAACATACGTAGTTATTGAAGAACTGGATCTCCAGGCACAAGATTACTTTTGTTTTAGTTACTATATGGTATAATTAATAATTTTACAGTTAATAATTTTATATTTAGAATATCAGTTGTTTATAAAAGTCCGTCACATTGTCTCTGAATATGGTTAAAAAGGGTCGTTTAAATTTTGACACTTGTTTAAAGCCTCCCAATGAACTCCGTTCTGCAGCTAAAATTGGGTCTTTTAGTTTCGAAAAGGTTCATGAATTAATTAAAACAAAGTTTTACTATGTCTTACATACAAAGTTCTTCCAAATATCTATATCGTTATCTTTATGCCATTATATCCATAAACCCCTTTCATATAAAACACCTTATTAAAAAATATTATTTCATCCCGACTATTCAACTGTAAAAGCTTTCTCAGTCACTTATAATACATATTTAAAAAACGTCGAATAACTTGTATAAACGCATACCATGTTACATAATATATTTGCTATCACATCCATTAATATTAAAGGCAGCTTTAAAGCAATAAACATAATATGGGATTTTCTTTCGGAACACAGAAAATAAATTATTCTCATTTAAAACGTTACAACCCAAACTCACGAACGGTTACGTTCTCGAATAATCTATTTCTCGTTCCACATTCGTGAATATTCATTACACATATCCTTTATGTGATTGTGGAGTCGTCGAGTGACTTCAGTCATCAAAAACTTTTCATAGCTTACGGCACAAAGAAAATCCTGTACTTGTAACATTTTTACGTCTGTAGCACTTAAGGCTTTTAGGAGCCTTCCACACGATGGCTCATTCAAATATGGAACAATCGTGAGTGTAATTTTATGGTTACTTCGTGTGAAAGGCTGGTAGGTGTTAGCTAAAAAGTAACAGGGTGGTTTATGCGTACAGGAGCCGCGGTGCGGCCGTCGGCTGGCGTGGTAACTCTAGCGTTGTCCCCATTTGTACCCGCAGCGGCACTCTTGGGAGCCCGGTTTCGAGCTGAATCTAGTTGCCTCCTTCCAGACTCCAATGGCAATCTTGACCCCGAAGCGCCATCACCCGCTAACATGGGGAGGCGGCGCTCCAGGGCCGTTCTTTACCAGCTTTCAGGACATTACAAACCGGATAAAATGAAGACAAAATTAAAACTCAACAATGTCAGTAAGGTATCCCGAGCTTCTTACTAACCCCTAGCTTTGGAATATCACTATCTTATATATATTATATGTGAACGAATTATGAATTTTTAGAATCTGCTACACTCGTCCGATCCACCGCTTCCAGAATACAAAACGTCTGCTATAAAAAAGTCTAAATTTATTATCTCGCATTATGGTGTTTTTAAAACCTTCTGGGATTGGTTAATCCTAATAGCAACGTTTTATGTTGCGGTTGTTGTCCCGTATAATGCCAGTTTCGTTGACGAGGGGCATCCAAGAATAAGCGTCACAAGCGATGTTATTGTGGAAGCACTTTTTATTATAGGCAAGTATTCAACACAGACTAGTATTTTTTAGTATTATATATTAGTATTTAAAATTATATATAACCTTTTTGTTTAATTCTGTACTCACTTTTATCACTATGTTTTCAATACCTTAAGAATAGAGAAACTCGTCAATATTAATTTTAATAAATGTGGTACCAAGTTATAATTCCATTAAACCATTTACACTTCAACATTGGTAGTATTCATGTTCATTGACTCTTATATGAAAGCTCCAACAAAAAGCTTCACCCTAAGAGTGAATTTTAAAACCTTCCTTTTATTTATTTCGGTTTCCTACAGCTAACATATATAATATACAACACAGAAGAATATTACTAAACATATAGCCAAGTATAGAATAAAATAAATTTATATAAATTATTAAATACGTAATACCTAATTCGGATGTGCTGTGTGATGGTGTGAAAGTGAGGGTATGTACGTAAAGGTGTATGTGGGGTGTGCTCATGATGGAGGTGATGCTGTCGATATTCTTAATACTCTTTTTAAATAAGTTAATATCTTAAACGCTTATTAATCAAAGAGTACGTTTAATTTTAAGTAATTTACTAATTGCCTCCAGATATTGTCCTCAACTTTCGCACGACGTTTGTAAGCAAGAAAGGAGAAGTGGTGTCAGACTCAAAGGCAATAGCTCTTAATTATATACGATCTTGGTTCGTGGTTGATCTCCTGGCCGCGCTCCCTTTTGACCTACTTTACGCATCAGATGTATACAGTAAGGTAAGCATAATAATTGCGGTTCCAATATAATATAGAAATCAATTTGCAATTAACAGAACAAATACAGAGCAACTTTGTTTCTAAATCTCACAGAATTGTACTATATTTGTTAGTATAAATTGGCCATTAATAAATTGGAAACCTTAAACTGAACAAACAATATGTTTTTAAAGGGTTAAAACAGCAAATTGATTGATTTTAAAATATCGGTAAGCCATATTATTTCTGGTCCATTTAAATTTTGTATTGCTCACGTTTTCTATATAAGGTAGCTACTATGAAACTATCAACGGTTGTAATGTACTGGATAATCGAATGGATTCACCTGATCGGATAGTCGTATAAGAACTATATTCAACTAGCTGCCCCCGGGAACTTAGTTTCGCCTTAATTTGACGTTTTTACTTCGCCTACCTTTTTAGTAGCTACACCAACATATCCAACATTTTGCTATGCTACCCCATAGAGACTGTTCGTTTTTCCGGACTAAAAACCTAAGTACTAAATAATACAATTTGTTTTTCAACTTTTCTCTCGATAAAAACCTTTCTCAGTGTTCAAGGAATAAAAAAAATACTTGGCCAATCCAAGCCGTCTTCGAGTTTTGATTGCTAAGCAAGATATTTTGCGATAAATTTTTATGTATATAGATATAATAAGTGCTTTAAAGTATTCACTAAACTATAAAGCTGGGTTAATGACCCATTTGCTTACAATTTTCCTATTTTTATTTAATAATCACACGTAGTTTTGATTATAGAAGTTCAAACGATTCACAACACACGTTTGAAATACTGCACACATCTGTATCTTATACACGTGAACATGTCTCGAATACCTCTTAAAGCAACTCTATATAATGATGTAATAAGCATTAATTAGAAACATTGACGAACTGTTGAAGGCAAATTAGTTTCTACTTTGCGTTAAAGTAGGAAAAATATATATATATATTCAATAGCCGATTTAGAGGAATACGAAATCAATATAGTACTTTACATAACCCAAAATACAGCGATTATGTGGTCTAGGTCTCAGATTTCTGTATCTGTTTGATTATTTGTTTCTTCTTTATTATTTGTTTCGACTTTTTGGGTCAAGCCATAAGCAAATTTTAAATGCGCATATAGACAAAAAGTCCGACCGGGGCTTGAACCTACGACCTTAGAATGAGAGTCGCATGCTGAATAGGCTAACACTTCTTTTATTATAAAATAACAAAGAAGTGTTAGCCTAGTGGCTTCAGCGTACGACTCTCATCCCCGAGCTCGTAAGTTCGATCCCCGGCTGTTGACCTCACTTTCTTTCTATATGCCCATTTAACTTTCGCTCGAATGGTGAAGGAAAACATTGTGAGAAAACCGGATTGCCCCAAAAAGTCGACGGCGTGTGTCAGTTGCAGGATAGGTTGATCATCTAGACCTTTTTTGCAACGTTTCAAATATAATAAATAAATAATGTATCTTCTTATAAGATTAAAAATGTATAAGAATAGAATTTATAATAAAGCATGCCCTCTCACAACATTGCTGTCTAACCAAGGTCCTTAATGTGCCAAAATTATAACATGTCACCTGTAAAGTATGAACATAAAGGAATGCTATAAAGATTTCATTTTCACTTTAGATTGACAAATGGTCATGAAACAGATACTGATACCTGATACCATACCTAAAAAGGTATGGGCCTCAGATTACTAGTGGGCAGTTTTTTTTATATATGTGATAAGTGACAGTTAACAGTTACATAAACGGTAATATGAAGAAATAACAGTTAGCTTAAACGGTGATATGAAGATTCAGTCTTGCTACGATTTAACTGAAATTCTCGCTTATAATGAAATTTTTCACAGGAATCGACGCATGGTAACGTTCACCTCGTCAAATTAACCCGTCTATTGCGACTGGCCCGACTTTTACAGAAAATGGACCGGTATTCACAATATTCAGCTTTGATTCTTACACTACTTATGCTTTCGTTCACGTTATTGGCGCATTGGCTTGCTTGTATATGGTTTATTATAGCCGAGAAAGAGATTGAGCATCATAAAAATGAAAGTTGGGATTTGGGTAAGTAGCTGATTATATTTTAGCTAAATTTGTAAATATCGCGCTTTGAATTAATGGAAATTTCGAAATATTATTTTGCTACTTATATGTAATGGGCTGTCATATGAGATAGGTTGTGTCTCTTGATGGCAATACAGATTTATTACGATCCCCATTATGTACGAGGGAGTTAATATATAATCTAACATAAGGTTTAGACCAGTGATTCCCAACGTGGGGCAATTTGATTACTAAGGAAAATTTATTAAAATTATTTGTAATTTGAATTTCAGTTTTTCTATAAGTATTGAAAATTTACTTACTGTGTTTCATTAACAATTAGTAATTTCCTCAAGCCTTCTTGTTAAGTGAACAATTCTATTTTTTAATATTAAAAATTACGTTTGTTACATGGGCGGGTCATAAGAATTTTAGAAAAGTTTTGTGGGGGGCCATGGTCCAATAAAGGTTAGGAAACATTGGTGAAATGAATAACCAAAACCACTGTTCAGAATCTCAAATGTAAATAATGTTATTAATTCGAGGTTAAATAGCTTAAAACATTTAACTGCGTTAAAATAAAGACAGATCAGTATACATATTTCCAGACTAAAATTCAATATTTATGTGTTCTATTACATAATGCATCTAAATTTTCTTTTTTTATGGTATCGCAGGCAAACGGGCAGGGCTCACCTGATGTTGTGATACCGCCGCCCATAGACACTCACATTGTGAGAAGGTTCGCAAGTGCGTTGCCGGCCTTTTAAGAATTGGTACGCTCTTTTCTTGAAGGACCCTATGTCGAATTGGTTCGGAAATACTTGAGTGGACAGCTGGTTCCACATAATGGTGGTGCGCGGCAAAAGCTGCTGTAAGAAACGCTCAGTGGAAAGATTAATTGATTTATTAATTAAACACGGTTTGTTATATTCAAAATATACCGTATTTGCTACGAAATAGACTGTAAAAGGTCAATCAATCAGGTGTTATTCCTGAAGCCAATCAATATAAAACCCACCTTAAATTTATGGAAATACAGTGCAAATTCTTTATAACATCATTCGTTATAAAGAAAAACTCTCTATAACTTAAAAAGATGTTATATTTATTTGGTACTAGCAAACTCGGCGAACTCCGTTTCGCCACCAGATGGCTTCGTTTTATGTAACATTTCGTTTGGTGATCCCGCTTTTCTGTTGAAATTTTCTGAACTTTCTTTGCTATAAATCTCACGGAGCCCGAGACCTTTCCAACGAATGCAAAACCGTGGAAATCGGTTCGTGCGTTCTGGAGTAATAGCGTCAGGAAGGAAAACCCGACTTATTTTTATATATATAATAACCCAATACCAATACATGAATTCTTCCCTCCCTATAACAAATCCTCTCTATAACGAATAAAATCGCTCGGTCCCTTGAAATTCGTTATAAAGAGTTGACACTGTACATTCTAATAAAACGGCATACTATGTTTAATATAATAGGAAGTATTAACAATTTCATAGGACAAATGAATCTGTTAACGTAATTAATGCTTTCAAAATACTTCGCAGCGTAAAGTCACGCTTAAATACTATTTACAATGCCTGAAATAGAAATTTCGCAATTAAATCTTAAACGACGCTATAAGTTCCCTTTTAGAAGTACTTGAAATGTTTGTGGGTGGATGCGTTATATTATAATGTGTACCTTTTAAAGCACACGTAGGCATAAATGTCAATCAGATATTGTGATTTGCGCAATTTAGTGGAGAGTTTAACTACTTTAGCGATAATAAGTGATTTTTGTTCAGGTTTTAAATGAAATTCATCAAGATTATGTGCTACTGTAAATACGCTAGAGGTCTCATTTTCAGTATGGTTTGATTCGCTAAACAGTTAAATATTAATTATTATTGCCATAAAGTTATTTACTGAATAAATGTTGTTTGCTATAAATACAAATTTTTCTTAGACTGCCTTTCTGCGATATAAAATATTAAATAAATATCGACCTATATTTTTAAACTTGCGTAAATTCTCTTGTTAAAGAATTTAAATTACATGATAAAAATTGTCAAGCTCTATTAAAATTACTATTAACTTAATTATTTTTTTAATACCATTTACATTACGAATGAGGTAAAATTAATTTTATTCATAAAAACATAGTGCAAGGGTGCCCTTTTAGCCAAAGTACTATTTTCTCTCTTTCTGTCAAATTTTGTCTACGTTGTGATAAAAAGAGACAATTGAGTACTTTAGTGAAAACATCGCAATAATAAGACTATTAATATAATAAATGGGTTTAAACAGTTGCAAACTTTTAATAATTTTTACAAACATAAATCTACCACTGAATGGTTATATAGGTATACAAGTATAATCTGTAATCTTATACTAGTGTATACACGTTAGGCAACTGATATCCATTGTCTTTGGTTCATAGATACAACATAAATGAACTTAATATATAATTAAAGGAAAAATACTACGAAAGACTAGGCGGTATGGTCGTAAGACTATAAAGAAAAAAAAACTATTCAGATACAGATGTCTAATCTATATTTTAGGATGGATCAATAATTTAGCTGAGAGGTTGAAAATCCCAATAGGAAATATATCACACAGCGAGAGCTATGTAACAGCATTGTACTTCACATGTTCGTCACTAACCAGTGTGGGTTTTGGGAACGTGTCTGCAAACACTCTGCCGGAGAAAATCTTCAGCATATTGGTTATGCTTGTTGGAGGTAAGTTTCTTTACATTGAATACTAAATAAAAATATTAAATAATATTCATTTTAAATACTATATGCCTTTTAAAGTGAAACTTCTTTAGGCGCATGAGGGTAAAATTTTTACGGAACGTCACGAAGATGTGCAGCGTTTTTGTCAATTTTTGAAGTTATACTTCTTTAGGCGCGTTATGAAAAATTGATGAGAGTGAAATTTTACGATGCGCGCGCACCTGTGACACAAAATTAGGAGTGTGATTATAGCGTGCGCGAGCGAGATAGGAATAAGACAATCTACAAGTAAAAAGAAATAGAATATGCGTGAAGTTCGTATGCCAAGAATTTTGAATGACCATAATGACATTTGTCATTTACCTTTTAAACAAATAAAGGAGTTTTAATTATTTTTTCAAAGAAATTTAGCAATGCTTTTTAATTATATATAATCAGAAGTGATTTAAATTGAATATTTAAACCAATACTAATTAATATTTGTGAAAAAACTGTGCTCATCAACCTTCCTAAGTGCTTCATTACAATTGAGGTTATCAGTTTGTATTATTATTATCGAGTAATGTTTTGATTAAAAAAATTACAACATTGTTTAATCAAAACATGTAATTTTTCTCTAGCAAATATAAGGACAAGAGACAAAAAACAATTGATGAATCAGTGTAAGTGCACTAAATTGAATACAAAAAAAGAGTTGTCATCTTATCGCTGTGAAACATCAAAAACTGGAGGTGGAACAAAGCCAAACTATTTTTAATAATGCCAAAGAAGTATAACTTCTTACGCGCGTACATAAGTACACGCACCCTTTTTTTTCTTTAATAAAGATGTGCTTGTATAATATTGTGGTGCAATTATTCATACTTGAACACCGATGGTGTTTTTTAATACATATCAATATCATTATTATTTTAGCTTTTTTAGCTTAATTACTCAATAATTAATTTACAAAGAAGTTTCACTTCTGAAATGTGTACTCTGTACGCACTCACTGTTTTTGTTTGTTTTATGTTCATTTATTTATACTTATTAGTTATTACTTATCATTGAAGAAAATATATAATGTTGAAGAAATTTAAAATTGTAAAAATTTGTATATCCGAAAAATGTGTTACATTATTTCTGTACTCCCAATTAGTTGGTTATGGAAGAGCCAGACACAATTACCTTTTATTTCAAGGGGATTAAGAATTTTTATATGTATAGCAAATAAATATAAAAACAGGGCCTGGGTGTCGTTGAATCAAAATTATACCGCTTAATAGGAGTAATTCACACTCATTTCGTTTATTGCACTAGCGACGGACACCACGACTATGTGTCGACACTTCAGTCCCACAGATACTACTCTCTTGAGTCATTTACATACATATATATTTGCTTAGCTAAGCATTTACTTCAAGAACTGGAGCTTCAGAACAAATCACTTTTCGACAGGAGTGACTCACTATCGCCAAACGAATTTGTATCGAAATGACATTAGCTTACAATCTGTCACGTGATCATTTTCACCAATCCTAAACAGGATCAATGAAATCCGTGCTTACAGAGAATTTAGAAATAAACCCTTAGAGAAGTGCAAATATATACAAATCTTAAACGTTATTTTAATATAGTACAGATTTATAGGTAAATAACATTCGTATTGTACCGTATGATTGACAAATGATTAATCGTTCGCGTAAAACATATACAGCCTTTCTGTTTCTTGCAAAAATTGGACTTTTCTCATCTTGGCTAAACAAATTCCTAATAGATTGAGTGGGGGACAAATAAAAATACCGATGCCACATGTAATAAGCAATCAAAAATCGACTATGAATTTGCGTGTTGTTCCCACGAGAATGTAAGTGCGTTCTCCTATTTCACCATGCCTCCTGCTGATAGAGGACAAACCTTTGTTTTTAATTTATTTTATTATTATTTATTACTTAAGATGTCATGTGGAACATGGTGTAATGGTTTCAGCTCCTTACAAACGTTGTGTAAAACAAAAAACTTGGCGATCAAAGAGTGGCGGAGAGTTTATTGTCAGTTCTTCTTCCGCTCTACGCCCTTGATTTGAGAACTGGCAGTAAATGTAAAATTAGAACCATTTAATGTTTACTTCTTTTTTGATGTTCATAAGTGTACATGATGTTACCTATATGAATAAAGGATTTTTTGACTTTGACGTTGAAACTGTTACCTACCCACGTAATTGTAATAACAATAAATAATCATAAATCCTTTGGCGCTACCACCGATATGGGAACCTATCAGATTGCACCAGATTCCCTCGTCATTTTTATTTCATAGACAAATAGCTGATTAGCCTTCTGTCTGACACATGTCGTGGATTTTTGGATTTGAGACATGCCGCTTTCCTCACATTGTTTTCCTTCCGTACGAGCGAGTGTTAGATGCCCACATAGACAGAAAGTCCATTAAAGCACAGCCGGGGCTCGAAGCTACGACCTCAGTAAGGAGACTCGCTGAAGTCACTAGGCCAACACTACTTTTTACTATAAATTTGTAAAATGAACGTGACTGATCTTATTTAGATTGTAAATACTAAATCCGTGAACTAGTATCACAGACTCATAAGAGAACTTTAAAATTGCATTGTCTGAAAAATGATTTTCCGCTCACTTCTGACGTTCGAACTCTCCAGGTATTAATTTAATTTCAATGCACGAGATCAACATTTGAAACATTGAAATACAATTCTCAACCCGACGATAATGCCATTTCTTTTTGACCTCATTTATGTTTCCTTTGGACTTGCTTCCGTTTAATGATTCTTCGTATCGAATGTTCACCGATTACAGGAGCTCACAAAATAATTGGTTCATTATGTATTAATTTCGCTATGATCGCGTAGGAAATACAATTACCTATTAAATCTTTCATAATACGTACTAAATTTAAATTGACTGTTAAATCGTAATTATGAAAATTGTTATGCTGTGGTCAAGCCCAGGCCCCACAGGGGGGCAATTTGATTGTTAAGGGGGGCAATTCAAATTCGTTTTCTATATGTTTAGAAAATTTATTTTCGTTAACAATTTCCTAGTGATTACTTCCTACAACCTATAAATAAGGTGTTTTTTAATATTAAAACATATGTATGTTACATTGGCATAAGAGTTTTAGAAATACTAAGGGGGGGCATGGCACAAAAAAGGTTGGAAAACAGTGGTGTACATGGTAGTTTTTGACATGATTAGTCATTAATGCATAAAAGTACTTGTAGAACCTCAATCTCAATATAGTACATAAGTATTATTACTTACTTGTAATGATGAAATTTTTGTAAATTCGACACCTAAAAGGAAAACATGGGATAACCCGGTGAATCGGAATTCTTTATTGTTAATGGTATAGAGAATAGACGGGAGTGACAGAGACAACAGTATGATACCTTTCTAACAGGATTAATTAAAATAAAGCTATTTAGCATAAAGGAGGTTGATTAAGTCGCGGTTAGTTTAGAGTATAAAATTTACTAACAAAATTTATTAACAGATTACTAATTCATTTAACAGATTAAATATAAACACAGGAAGTAAATGTGTATCTAGATTTTCGAGACGTTCGTAAGTTACCTATATGAATAATTATTATATGATGTTTTGTTTTGAATTAATTTCAAGTGCTTTCTAGAGAGATGTATCATATAGTATTATACATATGATACATCTCTCTAGAAAGCACTATACATATATATTAGATAATTATTATTTCGTTTTTTTATTGTACAATTATACATCTTGGTATTATTGTGTAATTCTGTCGTACCAATGCGATACATAAAATATTACATAGTTAGCAATTAACAAATGAAGTTAAAAAAAAAACAAATAATATTAAACAAAAGTTTAAAAACTCAACAATAATAATAATTATAAATAACGTCTATATTTGATGCGAGTGACGAAAAACAGAGCCCAATCACCGCGCGCCTTGTTTGCTTCAGCTGAACACCAGATCCCTCACTCCTACGAATCACTTGAGATTTTTCAGCTTATTACATGATAACTGTAAAGATATGATATTTATGTGAATTTAAACAAGTCTGATTAAAACGTGGTAAATAGTCTTTCGTCCGAATATTGCAGATGACAAAATAAAACTATTATTTAATCAAAACCAATATTTTCGTTAAAAAAACTATTTAAAAAAAACAAATTGTAAATAGCAGTCACTTAATCAGTTTACGTTTCTATCCAGCTCTGATGCACGCGGTGGTATTCGGTAATGTCACGGCCATCATACAGAGGATGTACTCACGTCGATCCATGTATCAAAGCAAGTGGCGAGATCTGAAGGACTTCCTAACAATCAACCAAGTCCCCAAGGAACTCAAGCAGCGCATGCAAGACTATTTTCAGACGATGTGGTCTCTCAACCATGGAATTGATATACATGAGGTAATTGGAATGTTATAACGATAGCTAAAATAAATCACTTAACACATTTGATCCCGTTTCAATGCTGTAAATTCTTTATAACCTGAAACATATCTGTTTAAAGATTAAATAACGCATTTACTCTATTGTAGAAGCTAGCGTCAAAGACAATCGACGGAACTTCAGATTCTAAAATGATTTATAATATCTTTTAATTTCAAGTTGTGAGCTTATTATTTTTTATACTTATATTTATTGAGTTGTCTTACTTAAATGTAATTTAAACATATTTCTCAAGTAACCTTTGTTTTGTCTATTCGTATTTGGCCTCTGTCGAATTAAGCTTCATCATAGATTATAAAATAATTTGTACCATCTGTTCTTTCCACAAAAGAGGAAGACCTGTTATTACGAACTACGTATGTATAAACACTTGTGGGCTTGTGTCTTAAGATTTTTCCAGCTTTTGTTTTACGCTCGAGCATACTTTTCAATCGGGTCAGTATAACAAAGCTTTAGGTTAGCTTTAGCTTTATAAATTACAAATTATTTTTCTAAGAAGAAAACCTGTTTCCAATTACTGTCTGTGTTCCACCTCGAGTAGTAGCTAGGATTTCTAGCTTTATTTATAAATTTGTCTGATGCACTGTTTTAAGTAACGTACCCATCCCTCTCTTGTCGACATAACGTAAACACCTTTTGAAAGAAAGTGACAAAAGACGAAAAGAGTACCTACAAGTGGAGAGCATGTAGATTTTTTTTAATGAATAAAGTATATATTAACCCTTATTTTTTTAACAGTCTCCTGTACTAATATCTTATATCTTCAGTTGTTATACACATAACATACATATACATATACGTACATAACCTTTTTTATTACAGGTGATGGAGATAAAAACAAACCCCCACGCAAATATATACTATTTTTTATATACATAACGATATTTTTCGAATCGTCCACACATTATAATAGTTCGGCCTTATATCTGAGTGGAGGTTTGTCGTAAGTAGATTATTATCTAGTTCCAGACTAAACAAATTCAATAACGCGAGAAAAAATATAATTAGTTTATGGTGACAGATATATTAACTTTCAAAGATAATGAACTAAGCGCAGCTAAGACTTTTGGTTACGCGGACTTTTTCTAGATATTGACGTCTTCTACAAAAGTGCAGGATATTACTTTGCGTTCAATTTATTGCGTCAATAGTTTCCAAGTACCTACGCGACATAAGGATGTTTATTGGTATTTTTTTCACATCATTAACGAAGTTTTCATAGGTACAGATCCCTTACTTTTTTAAATTATTCTATAGCCTATGTTCATTAGGAATAATGTAAGGTTCTAATCGTGAAATTTCTCAAACCGGTCCAGTAAATTTGGGGCCTTTTCAAACCGAACGAATTGTTGAATAGGGATTTGGACTTATTATATCTCTATTGTTGCCTTTTGTTGAATTCGTAAAAATTTAAATTCTTTTGTAGTCACATTAACGTTAAAAACGCAGTAGGTACTAGAGGGGAGGATGAAATGTTCTCTTACTATCTGAGCCCTGTGGTTACATGCGGTAATTAGATAATATAATGACTAATTAATTATTCAATTAGAAATATTAGTTCCTGAGATCAATGCGACTTAGTTAAAACAACTATTCGGTAATCACAACAGAGCGTTTTGTAAGGCAGTTTCTGCCGCGCACCACCACTATGTGGAACCAGTTGCCCACTCCACTAAGGGTCCTTCAATAAAAGAGCGTACCAATACTTAAAAGGCCGGCAACGCATTCGTGAGCCATTCATTATCAGAGCGGCGGTATCACTTAACATCAGGAGAGCGTCCTGCCCGTTTACTATGTGTTCTATAAAAAAGTACATATAATAATTATTTGTGAAAATAATTATGTTATTTGAATAACGGACGAATTTAATTAGATTGATTTGTGAAAGCTTTAGCTCTTGGAAAACCTTTTTAATCGAGCGTGAACTTATAGATTTATTCATTTGCTCAAGTATCCATTAGTAAATGACTCTGAGTAGTAGGACTGTTTTTGAATTGATTTTTACATTTTCTTTAATATATCGTAAAATTCTTTCGCGAGTTAATTGAATTAAATGAGGTGGAAACACAAAGCGAATTTTATCTGCGTCATCTAATTTTTATAAAAGGGTATTACGCCTAAACAAATTTTAATTTATAATTTGAAGGCTTTTGAGCCAACTTAAGAGTAGATTATTATAACTTCCTAAATGTTATATTTGTTAAATGTGTGTGTTTGTACCTCACACATACTTTTCACAGTCAGTTGAGAAGAAAATTAGAGTGATATATATATATTATATATATATATATATATATATATATATATATATATATATATATATATGTTTTGTAGATCAGATGAAGTGGATCAGTAAACGAACCGTGATAGTGATATAAAATACGCGTTAATATATAAATATAATAGTAAATTCAAGAGCCACAATATTTTAGTATTTTGCATTTAGGCTATGTTCACATGTAACGCGCGTCAACGCGCGATCAAATTTGAAGGCGTTCAGATGATGAGCGCTAGCGCGCGTTGCGAGAGTACTCGTCAGTCTAGTCTCGGTAGAACGTAGAAAATGGATGTGGAAGAGGCTATTATTTTGTGGTTATATTATAAAGAAAAATATAGAAAAAGAAAACGTACACATTGGGTTTATCCATTTTGAAAAAAAATACAATTTATATTATATTTTTTATACAAATTTGCTATATTCCAACTTGCTGACCTTTTTTCTACTTCATCGCTTAGTAAGTCGATGTCAATATCTTCAATTTCACTCATTTTAAAAGCGAGAACAAAATATAATTACGAAAATTAATAAAATTACATGCGATCGCGATGAAAGCGCGCGCCTCCTGAACAGCAAACGGACATTACATTAATATCACGTCAGCGCGATCACCTGCGTCTAGAGACTTTTTCTCTGAGCGCCGCGTTGATCGCGCTAACGCGCGTACATGTGAACAGTGGGGGTGTATGAAAAATACCATAATCTCTAGTCGCGCGGTTTGAAAACGCGTCAGGTTTTGCCACTGAACATAGCCTTATTGGTGCTTAGCAAGGAAATATAAATTAGAAGTTAATAATCTATTGAAGGAAGGGCTTACCCTACCATTAGTGAATGAAAATGCTAAAATATAATGGGTAATACTCGTACATACAGACATCACTATCACACATAATAGACCAGACTTATTTGCTAAAACAAATAACAAAACTTACTTGTGTACCAACAGTGGAGCCAAACAAACAGCATTTTAGCAAATATCATCCATTAAAACAGACCTGACTGTGGAATACCCAAACGAGAGTCAGACCAATAGTCATAGGTGCGACTAAGTTAAAACAACTATTCGGTAATTAGCACAACTGATCGTTTTTTAAGGCAGTTTCTGCCGCGCAACCAGTTGCCCACTGAAGTCTTTCCAAACCAATTCGAATTAGCATCCTTCAATAAAAGAGCGTACCAACACTTAGGCCGGCAACGCATTCGCGAACGCATTCGTGTGTCCATGTGCGGTATCACTTAACATCAGGTGAGCCTCTTGCCCGTTTGTCCCCTGTTCTATAAAAAAAACAGGAATAGTAGCTCAATAAATTTAAGTAATAAATGATTCTATAGGCATCACCATTCTCTAAAAAAATACCTGAAATTCACACCTCAACCATAACCAAAAAGTGATTCAGTATTTCTAGATCGAATAACTATACCATTTGACACGAATAATACATATAGACTAAAAGGAAAAAAAAGGAAAATGGAGACGTGAGTGCCTTTTTTCTTGAGTGTCTCAAGACGGGGCACTGACTAAAGACCACATTATTCCATATAAATACTTGAATATAGGGACTCCTTTGTTTAGGAAAGCAGCAGTTTTATTTTTAAAACGAATATGTATTCATATTTTGTAGACCCTGAAAGAATTCCCTGAAGAACTAAGAGGCGACGTATCACTACATTTACATAGAGAAATCCTGTCTCTTCCCATATTCGAGTCAGCGTCGCAAGGCTGCCTCAAACTCCTATCTCTACATATAAGGAACAATTTCTGTGCACCAGGCGAATATCTCGTTCACAAAGGCGACGCGTTGTCATACATTCACTATATTTGTAACGGCTCAATGGAGGTGATGCAGAACGATATGGTTGTTGCAATATTGGGTAAGTCTACACACTAGCACAAATATTACTCCAATTTACCAGATTTTTAATTAGTGCTGTTTATGAATAAAATTGTATTATGAATACTATAAATATTTTTTATTAGAACGTATATTGTAGCTATTGGTCATTAAATTTTTTCCCAAACGTTTATATTTTAATGCAAGAACAAAAGCTCCAACTATTATCAAAAATTTGCTGAAATAAACAAACAGATGATTTTTTCTGTCTTATCTGATCTTAATAGACACATGGCGTAAAAAAACCCGGAGATTTATTCCTGGCGAAAAAATAATTTGTTTCAGATTGGAAGGCATCCAAAGCCACCTGTTCGCGTCAAAAGATTATCAATATAACTTAGAAAATTTCTAGAATATTCATAATTACAGCACCAATGTTTCTGTATCTTATAGGAAATATAAACATATTATTGTGGTAGTAAATGTAATTTTGAATCAATTTAACATATTTTCTATTGACGTTCATATGACGTGTACCTACTTGGTTACCTAAGAGTATATGAATAAAGTTATTTTGAGTTTGAGTTTTTTATATGTTAGCTTGCTGTCAGCTGTAAACGTATCAGCCAAGTATTGAAAATTTTAACGCAATTTAACCACATATGAACACGTTTGTGAACTAACCTTATAAATCCTTTAGGAAAGGGAGATTTGGTGGGGTGTGACATGAACACACACCTACAAGCCTACAACGGGACCGGAACAACACAGTCGAATAACGCCGACGTAGTTGTCAAATCAAGCAGCGACGTAAAGGTATAATATCCACTTGGAACTTTGAATAATTAAGCGAACGATAATGAACTAAGTTTAATATTACAGGCCCTCACATACTGTGATCTTAAGTGCATTAACATGATTGGCCTAGCTGAAGTGTTACGGCTGTATCCGGAATATCAGCAAGAGTTTATACACGATATACAACATGACCTGACATATAACCTGCGGGAGGGCTATGAAGCCGAACCGGACTCTGATGGCAACGGTCATCCATCTCTAACGCTACCTTCGATATCTGAAGACGATGAGAACGCTGCTGAGGATCAAACACTATCTCCTAAAAAGCCTTTAGTTTCTAGCACTAGTAGTCCACGTCACGCGCGTTTCAGGTAATATAATGTTTTTATTAGAATTTATACTGTTAATTGTCAATGGATTATTACATTCGGTTTATTAGTGCGCTGGATTGAAATTGTTTTATTTATATATATAACGTATTAATGAGAGAGTTAGCCTAGTGGCTTCGGCGTGCTTTTCTCATCCCTAAGGTAGGTTCGATCCCACGCTGTGAACCTATGGACTAGTGAAGGAAAACATCAAGAGGAAACCGGGCAGGGCTTAGACCCAACAAAGTCGAGGGTATGTGTCAGGTACAGAAGGCTGATCACTTCCATGCCTATTAGAGTAAACAAATGGTTACGAAACAGATATACAAATCTTATGATCAGATCTAAATGAGAGGTTTTAGCGCCAGTGATTTTAATTTGAGTCACGAAATGATAAACAATAAACCGTTTTTTTTAAGTGTACTCAGGTATATTTTATATAAATGTATTAAAAAATATTAGCTTATAGTATTAAAATAAACCTTTTTTAGATCGGACGGACAAGCTCGATTATCACATAGGGAATTACGTGAGAGAATTGAGCGACAACGTTCCGTAGCAACGCCAAAGATGTCGAGAGCCGATTCTTTGGAAGGTTTAAATTTAGAAATACGTTCGTCTGTAGAAAGACTCGATACACAGGTGTCCAGTTTACATCATGACGTCGCCGCTCTGAGCATGGAGGTAAACACTGACCTAATAAACTAACACACATGGCAGTTCGTCCATGTGTATAGAACAATGAAATCGATACAAATAAATAATCAATACGTTTTTTAAATATTCGTACTTTACACTTAAAATAGTACAATTTTATGTTATCACAAAACAAACAATATAGTAATTTATTTCTTACCTTTTTTAAGTTTATTGTAATATATATTAGAAAAGTCCAGTGTTATTAATATTTAAACCAGTAAGATTCCTGCTCTCACGGCACCTAAATGTGCAGGTACGAAACGCAATTCAGGCTCTACAGGAAATGACTGGTCCCGTGTGGCATGCAGCGCATTCCAATCCCAATTTACAGTGGAATGCGCCTCCAAACCAGCTCGCTCGCAGTTGCAGTCATCCGCCTGACGTATTTTGTTGGGATCAGGTAGATTTTTTAGAATTATTCAATGTTTCGATTTTGTTGATTGAAAATAACGTACCAATTCTTAAAAGGCCGGCAACGCACTCGCGAGCCCTCTGGCATTGAGAGTGTCCATGGGCGGTATCACTTAAGATGAGCCTTCTGCCCGTCTACCAGACCTCCTTGCGGTCCATACATACCTACGCTCCTTCCACGCTTATAAAATTCTCCATACACGGGTGTGTGGGCTCATGTTTTTCACGTACCATAGTTTTAATATATAAAAAAACTAACCATAAATGTAGAACAATATTTTTCTTTTAATAAATAAATTAAATCCAAACAGAGTAAAAAACTAGGTTTTGTTGGGCGCTTGTAACGTCGTATCCTCAAATTTAATTGAAGTCGAACTCCAATGCGACGCTAAATATATAATTTATAAATCTTTAATAATTAATAATAGCACACTTATATCACTTTATGAATTGAATTTACAGCAAGAAAGGCCAAGCACCCCGGAACGGCCAAAAATAAACCGATGTACGCAAACGGATCCTTTCTTAAACTGTGTTACACAATATATCATTGAACATCCGGCGACGGTTATGTTACTCCTTGGCTTGGATCCTATGGCCAACCTGACACCAGTCATGACGCCACCCGTTCCATACTACGATACACAGGGTAGACGACCAAGTGGATTAGAACAGATTGCAGAGTCAGAAAACGGTAGCCAGTCTCCGTCCAGTACTGTCGAATCCTGCGCAAGTCCCACCGGAAGTGTCAAATGCAATGTGCCAGAGACAAAAAAGTTTTCCGATAAAGACTCTAAAGGAATAAGACGGAATAGGTATTCCGCTAGTGATATATGTGAAGTGACTGAACGATTGCTCCCGACAAAAGCGGCAAATCAAAGTACATACAGTCTCAAAAATAATAACTGTTAAGTGATATTCCAGTATGCTCATTAGTAAATAATTCAATTCTCGGTGTTAGTTTTGATCGAACGATGTTTTAATATTATTCATACATATTTTACTGTACATATCAGGTGTACTATTGACAAAAGCTGTTTATTTGTCTAGTCATTAAGATTAAATTTATGTATATAAAAGTTCTTTAGATGTGTTAATTCAATAATCCTTGAATACTGTTTATATAAACGAGTGTCTTGGTAATATTATCTAAGAATGCCAGTTATTATCTTCGACATTCTTGTCATATCTTGGTAGAGACGGGGAACTCTGCAAAATTATATTATTGCCCTAAAAGCGTCTACACACGGCCCTAAAATCAGGAGCAATATCGGAGAAGTGGTGGGGAACATCCAAGCTCGCTCCCTAGATCGCCTCGTGTGTAGGCAAATCGTACCCTAATAGGACGTGTGAAGAGTATGATTTCATCATCACCATTGTCCCGATATCACCACTGATTTTACGGCCGTGTAGCCTGCTTAAGTCACAATCGCTTGCTGCGCCGTGCGTATTTTCATTAATCGACTAATCACTCTTGAGAAGTGACATCTGACAGTGTTCATGATTTTTCTAAAAGTATCCTAAATATTTTTATAGAAACGGATTTTTGAGTTATGAGTTCCTCGAAATGCGAGTTGTAGGACTGGCGCAGTAAGTTAGTGCAATTTATCTCTGTTACGTGGTGCTAGTTCTGATGTTCATGAAGTGTAGACCAAACATTTGTTGATAATAAATTAATAACAGACGTAATATTTTTGAGACAATACAACCTGTTTATAATCATCACTTCAGCGTCTGTGTATCACATGCGTGACAATTCAGGCTGTAATACTTGCAAAACGTCAGTCATATAATTTTTATTCAACTTAAAATTTGATGATTAAATTCGTAATAAAAGTTTTTTCGCATACATAAAGATTTAATCAATAAAAAAAATAAAAGTTGAAAAGAAATTGAGTTACCCTATGGTTACCATGACAGATTAAAAATTGACAGCTTATATAATTAGTATTTTTTTGTACATCGGAATTAGCACCTTAAAAAAATTATTTAACTCATCAATATTTCTTATGTGCCAATTACGGAATAACGTCTTCCTTAATAATATAGTATTATGCAAGAACTGTATAAACTGCTGACTATAATTTATGTTGTATCAGTAGAACAGAGGTCAATAAACGTTCCATAAACAATATAAAAACCATAGAACCCAAACTATTTTAAACTAAACAGATCATAACTATTCTACAACTCAAACTTTAGTGCAGTTTCATCGGTTGTGATTTGTCAAATTGGAAATTCTGCATAAATCCATATTAATGTAATGAACTAAGCAATTAACATATATATCCGACTTATTAATTTGAATATTAATTTCAGGCACATATCATAAAAATATACGCCATGTTAACCTTTTTTAATTCAGATTTAGTTCTGTCTACATATTTTCTCCTTCTTAAATTAAATTGTAATCTTTAAGAATGAAACGCTTACTAGTGTAAATGGTTTATATCTATGTGTATAGAACCTCTATTATAGAGTCAATGAATGTGATATGTCGAGAAATTATTAAAGATATATAGTGCCTAAATTCTTGTTTATTACTCCAGTAACTTCTTAAAAATACTACGTATTTATAAAATTAAATCAGTCGTCTTGGTTTAAGATTTAAAGTCGAGCGGTAGACTATCGTATGTTTCGGAAGTCATTTGTCATACTAGTTCTGACCCTTACACTGTTTTAACAAATAGTCGGATATTTCACTTCACAGCGTAAATTGACAAAGGTAGACTTTCACGAGTATGTTTCGGAAGTCATACTTGTTCTAAATCCCGATCAAATAGTCGGATACTCATCACAGCACAAAGGTGGATATTTAAAACAGTTTAATTGACCTGATTTAGTTTTATAAATGTGTTTTAAATATATATGTATAAGCGGTAACTGCATATCTATTAACTTATATTTTTTGTATTTACAATTTGTTTTTCTCTCGTAGTACAAAGTATTAGTAATAAAAAGTTCAATAAAGACAATTTGATGTTTATAAACGTTGTTTTATTTAGTTTTAGATATTATTTTTACAGCTTTTCAATGATAGATAGATAGATAGAGACACTAAAACTCATTCCATGGATTTTTAAAAACAAAATGTTCACTATCACTTCTTCTAAACCTATCCTATGCTGAAACCGAAAGTATTATTCTTGTACAACAGTAGTTTCATTACCAAATTGCAAGTTCTTAAAATCATAAATGTGTCAAATGGAAGCGACTAGCTGCCCACGACAGGAAATCCTTGTGCACTTTTTCTGATATACATAGTTTCTCTAAGAATTACGTTTTTTGCCGAAAAATGAACAAGCATACCCTGTTTAAACGTAGTTACGTTGTTATTATATCAAAGACAATTTAAGTTCCTCGATACTTGTAAAAGTATGTTTGAAAAATTATAAGCCAGCCATAATAACTTTTGAATAATTATAAAAATTCAATAGGTTTTCAAATCTAAATGTGTTTACATGACTTACAAGATTGTTTCTTTCTTGCTTTGAGCTTTCAATGGCAGTTTTATTGCTTTGTTTTAAGCTGTAAACAATATACAGCTATAGTAATGTTGACATATTTTCTACATTGTCATGCTTTATTTTATTTCCGAGTGTATTCTTTTTATCTAAGTTATACTTAAGTTCATTTACTAATAAATAGTGATTTGATTGTGGCATTTAAATCCTCATAATGTACATGCAATACAATTATCAATTCTAAAGAAAGCATTGTGAACTATCTATCTCGTACCTAATCCGCTGTTTAGCTGGTATTTTTGGAAAATTTATGTTTACCTAAATTGTCATATATTTTAGATAAAAGAGTTTGTAACATATACCGTAGATATTGTGTTTTGTATGATGTGGTAAGACTTGAACTTGATGTGGTAAGCCCGACTGTATCACTTAACATCAGATGAACCTACTGGCCGTTTGCCCCCTGTTACATAAAAAAACACTACAACACTGTGTCAACGCACCATAGAACATTTAGGAACTCAAAACTGATGCAGATTAACCCATGGTTATAAGAGCCTGCTAAGGGTAAATTCAAAGTCGACATTTTAGCACGACGTATCCATTCTATCAAACTCCTATACGTTTTTGACGTACTTCATAATTTGCTCTAAACCGCAACTCTGAATATTGCCCATATCACGTGAATGACAATTTTATTCTCATAAAACCCTTTGTTTACAGCAAACTCATAATAAATTCCTCAATATTCACGTAAAAGTCTCATATTAACTTCAATGTACGAGAATAAATCTAGCTTATGCAGGCTTACTTGCTGCGATACTTAGTATTTCTACGTTGAAACAAGAGTTTTTCAATAATATTAACATTCATAAAAATAATATAAAATTATTATTATTATTTTATTTTGATATTACACCGTTAACACAATAAAAAATGTGACTTGTTTAAACGGTACTAAACAAATGATTTCTTTTATTCTTATTAATTAAATCACACTACGTTTAATTCATTGTATACGGGTTTTATATTAAAACAGATTTTTACTTTGCTAGTTAAAAATTTCAAAACAGCATAATTAAAATTATGATATTTCTAATAATAGGTAATAATATCTAAAGAGCGGTACAATTTACGAAATTTAATTATTACTTATAACTACTATTTATAGGGCAGTGAAAGACCTATTTAACTTTGGACTCTGATTAGGCAGGTTTCTGAGGCTAAGATGTAAGGTTCTAGCAGAATAAATGCAATAGCAATGCACGAAGAAAATGTAGGTGGAACTTGCCTAAATAACGACTCTTTCTATGCGGAAGAGTCATTATATTCTGGAGAGAGAGGATGCTATTAAAACTCCTTTGTAATGTGTTTGTTTAATAAATATCAATAAAATATTTAGAATTAATTAAATGTGTTATATGCTGATTAAAAATATACGTATACATTCCGAACCTAGCGATTGATGCAAGCTAACGTGTGTGTTATATTAGGTCCTTACATATGAAATTGGCGTATTTCGTACTGGCCACTTTAATCACGATGTTCTCCTCTTTGGTAAGGAATTCCAAATTCAAATTTGTACAGCTATTTACTCATGTATTTGTGCTTCGATGACCGTCATTCATTTGTTTTTTTCTTCTGTTTTTTTCTGTTTGCGTCACTCATTTTACAAAATGGAAAACTTAAAGTATCGCATTATTTACGAGTACGAGTTCCGCCGTGGCACTAGTGCTGCGGAAACGACTCGAAGGGTGAATGATGTGTATGGCGGTCATGTTGCAAAGAAAACACAGTTCGTTTTTGATTCCAACGTTTTCGTTCTGGAAATTTCGACCTGCAGAACAAGCCCCGTGGACGGCCTGAGACCCAAGTTGATAATGATGTATTGAAGGCTATTGTGGAAACGGATCCATCGCAAACCACGTCCGAGTTAGCTGCAGGCTGCGATGTTAGTGATAAAACTGTTTTAATTCACTTGAAGCAAATTGGGAAGATTAAAAAGCTTGAAAGATGGGTACCTCACGAATTGACTGAAGCAAACCGGCAAACGCGCGTCGACTGCTGCGTTACATTAATGAACCCGCACAATAATGAAGGTATTTTAAACCGAATCATTACCTGTGATGGAAAATGGATTCTTTACGATAATCAGAAGCGCTCAGCGCAATGGTTGGACCCTGGCCAGCTATCCAAATCCTGCCCCAAGCGACCCAGCTTGTAAGCTTTGGTGGACTAGTGCCGGTATTGTTCATTGCAGTTTTCTCAAATCTGGCCAGACTATTACGGCTGATGTCTTTTGTCAGCAATTGCAAACCATGATGGAAAAGCTAGCGGCTAAACAACCTAAGCTGGTCAATCGCTCCACGCCACTGCTACTTCACGACAACGCTAGACCACACACTGCACAACAGACGGCTACCAAATTAGAAGAACTTCAATTGGTAT